ACAAACATACTAAAATCTACACTCCTCAAGAAACTAACCAAAAAAGGAAGGCCCTAGGGAAGTACTCCAATAATTGTGAGGAAAGGCACAGATAAATAAAAGCAATTTTTTTTATAAGATTATTGATGGCCGATAGCTCAGATGAGATGGTTAAGGAGGATGGCATTGGATGAGGGCTAGGAGGTGGATGGTGAAGTTATTGAGATACCATAGATGAAATATCTGCTTGACTCAAGGTAAATAAGGCAATTTTAAAATCTAATAGGTGTCTATGTCTTATTATTTGTGATAGCGGCTTATATAATAGCACCATGATAATCTTGGGGCTAATAATAAACATTATATAGTCCAACACTCATTTTTTATTTTTCTGAAACATTAGTTCAAAATAAGTTTCTCTGGGTCCTACAATGTAAGTGTGCTGTTTCTTCAGCAATAGGGTCCTACCATGTAATTATGATGAGAAACGAAAAGCAATGAAAATAACGTCTGTTATTTGGATTTTCTCTCAGACATCCCTGACCCTCACTCATAAGGAGGTAACCTGAAGCTAGTACTGAGATTTTTTTTTTCACTTAATAACCCATGACTTCTGGGAACAGCATTATTTGATCATGCAGAATATCTGTGTTCCACTTTTATATTTTTATTCATGCTTTAGGTAGGTGAGGACCTACTGGAGTTACATAATCCTTCATACATCTTTAGTTTTGATAAATCCACTGTCAACACCTCATTTTCCACCACTGCCCCTTCCCAGGAATGTTAAGCTGACAGGCCAGAGTAGCCGTTATAGCCATTCTTTGTGGGGTTAGATGGTATCTTACTTAACCTGCTTTAATCTGCAATTCCCTGATACCGGTTAAATACTCTCAAAACTGCTTACAAAATTAGTACTTCAGAGAACTTTCTGTTTGCTTTCATACTCTGATTTTATTTTTTTCTTGATGTTTAGGGTTTTTTATTTTTTACATATTCTAGCTGTTAAACATTTCACAGAGACGAGGATGGCAAATATGTTACTCTGTCCTGTTGGCTGCCCCTTGGCTCAACTGATTGTTTCTTTTGCTTCTTAGTTTCATGAGATACCATTTGTCAATGGCTGCTCTTATTTCTTGCAGTACCAGAGTCCTATTTCTTTCCTGTGTCTAGAACTGTACTTTTCATTTTTTTCCCTTTATTGGTTTTAGGGTATAATGTCTGATGTTGTAGTCTTTGATTCATTAGCCTTTTGTGAACGCTAAGTGTTAAGGATCCAAGTTGAATTTTCTGTATGTTGAAATCCATATTTTCTAGCTTCCTATACCGAAGACAACTATTTTCTCAGCTGTTTACTTTTGTGGTATTTGTCAAAGATCATGCAATTCCAGTGTCATAGACCTGTGTCTGGGTCCTCTATTACCCTCCATCAACCTATGGGTCTATTCTTGTGTCGTTACCATGCTGTGATTACTACTAAGTAGGACTCCATAGTAATGTTGAAAATCAAATATGATATCTTCCATGGTATTCGTTCTTCTTGGGGTTGCTTGTGCTTTCCCTACATTTTTGTTGTTGTTGTTGTTGGCCTCCACATACGTTTTTGCCTATGGCTATTAATATGATGACCATTTCACCATATTAATTATCCCAATCATGAGCATAGGAGGTCCTCTTTTTCACCTACATTTATTTATTTCTTCGGTTTCTTACAGGTTTTTTTTTTTTTTGGAAGATATTCTTTATTTTCTCTGTTTGATTTATTTCTTCTCTTCTGTGTGTTTTGGTGTGTGTGTGTGTGTGTGTGTGTGTGTGTGTGTGTGTGTGTGTGTGCGTGTGCATGTGTATTCAGCTTTTGTGAAAGGGATTGTTTTCCTAAGATCTTTTACAGTTTGGTTGTTCTATATTTGCTTGTTTAATTTGCTCAGTTATCTATTAGCTCTAACTGGTTTCTTTTTTATTTTAGAGTCTGTTTTGTGAAAAATCATACCATCAACAAATAAAGATATCATTAATTTTTCTTTTCCTATTTGAATCCCTTTTTTTTTTTTCATTGTTCTAGTTAAGACTTCAAGAAGACTGTGGAAAGAGGATAGTCTTATATTGTTCCTGACCTTGCAGATAACTCTGAGTTTTTCCCCTTTAACATGATGTTAGGCATAGGTTTGTATATGTAGCCTATATTATGCTGAGTTATCTGACTCTATCCCTCTATATGACTTTTATCATGAAGGGATGCTGGATATTGTCAATGGCTTTTCTGACATGAGTGGAATGATTATGTGATTTCTATTCTTTATTTGTGTGATGGATAACATAATTCATTTGCATATGGTAAACATCCATGCATCTCTCAAATGAAACCAACTTGGTAGGAATACAAGATCTCTTAAAATATGGGTTTGAATATAGTTTGTCAATATTTTATTGATAATTTGTGCATCTATGTTCATCATGAAGATCCATTGGTAATTTTTTGTCTTTTTGTGGTTTTGATAATAGGAACAGGCTACCTTCATGAAAAGACTTGGAAAGTCTGGAGAAATGGCCACAGTTAAAATCACCTGTTGTTCTTGCAGAGGACCCAGATTTAGTTCCCAACACCCACGTGGTGTTTCTCAATCATTTGTCACTGAGATTTCAGGAGATCTAATGCTCTCTTCTGACCTGTATAGGCACCAAACATACACATGGCACAAAGCCATACATGCAGGCAAAGTACTCATATATGTTAAAAATGAATAAGCCTATTTCTCATAAAAAGAATTTAGACTTTGTTTTGTTTCTGCTCATTGAATAATTTGCACATGGTTGATGTGAATTCTTCCTTGAAGTTCTGGTAGAATTTTGGAATAAATATGTCTGGGCCTGGCCAGTTTTTTAATTGATATGCTTTTTTATTATTGTTGATTATAGTTGTGTCTAAACTATTTATTATTGCTTTAATTTATATTTTAAAATATAATTGGAAATCATATTGCTTTAACTTTTGTACATTTTATGTTTCTAGAAATATGTCTATTTATTTGTTAGTTTCCAATTTTGTGGTAGAGAGGTTTTTAAAGTATGTCCTTATGATTTCCTAAATTTTATTTTAAGTTATAATTTCTCCCTTTTTATTTCTAATTTTATTAATTTGGTTGTTCTGTTTCTTTCAGTTAATATGGTTAACAACTGAGATATAAAATGAATAAATTGTAAGAAATAAAAATAAAGAAGCTATAAAAGAATTAACTCTTTCAACTATTTTTTGTATAGATTATTGTTGTTTTGTTTCTGTTATCTGTGTGTATTGTCTCTGAGTTTGATTTGTTATTGTTTGAATTTGAGGTCTCTCAGTAAATAAATACATATGGAAACCAAGTTTGGAGTCTTAGAATTAAATACAGAGGTGTCCAAGTTCTAATGCATTAAGACCTTAATGAAATATCACATACAATGAATTTTGATACAAATTTTACAGCAAAGACTATAGCACATTGGGAAAAGTAAACATGAATAAATTATATTTTAATTATTTTATATTAATCTGAACTGAACATTGGTCTTTACATAATCAAAATGATGTTGAACAACTAAAGATGAGACATTATTAAGGCGATCTCCAGCCATTTAACTACTTTCAATTAGGAAGAGCAAAATCACTGTTTAAACAGAGAGCTAGGAAAGGGTTTTCAGCTTAATAAGGATTGGGTGGAGTGGTAAATTCTGCACTTCTTTGTCAGAGATGTGACCAGTGCTCTAAAATAAAGCTTCTCAGCTTTTGTCCTGAGGATCTACTTATAATTTAAGTAACACTCATATATTTCAATCTTGCTATGAGAAAATTGTTAAATTTCTGTGTCTGGTCTTCTCAAGAACTGTATTGTAGAACTAAAGTTCCTAATCACCATTAAAAGAATTTTAAGAAAATCAATCAAAGAGGATAGCAAGCAAAAAAAAAAAAAAAAAAAAAAAAGTTCCCATGCCCATGAAGATGAAGGCTGAAGGCCTTGGTCCTCATTTGTTAAGGGAATTTTCATAAAAATCAACACAGCAACAGGACCCACACACACCAGTTTTGTGTACTAAGTGTCCCTCTAGTTCTTATAGGTTCAGGTGAACCTATGAGAAGTGTGTGTGTGTGTGTGTGTGTGTGTGTGTGTGTGTGTGTGTGTGAAATAAACACACATGTATTCTGTTTTCCATAATATTATAGAAAATGGGATATATAACAATACGCTAGCTCAAAACTGCAAAAATATTACTCAGCCACTAAAAATAAATAAATCATGAAATATATAGGCAAATGGATGGAACTGGAAAAGATCTTCCTGAGTGAGGTAACACAGACCCAGAAAAACACACATGGAATGGACTCACTTATCAGCGCATATTAGTCATATAGTACAAGAAATGCAAATTATGATTTCTTTCTTTTGTTTTATTTTTTTTTCTTTCTTCCTTTTATTTGTCATTCTATCTAGAGTTTTGAGTTTTGGGTTTTTTTGTTTTTTTTTTTCTTTTTTCATGAACTAGTCCTTGGCTCAAATAATTGTAATTCCCCTGGTTCAGTCTCCTGGGATCTTAGCTGGCACTGTAGATAGCTATGTGACACCATTCTATGCTAATATTTATGACTGGTATTTGAAAAGATATACAAAACTTGTTTCTGTTGTGCATAGTATTGTGCAGCATATGCCTGAAGCTTCTACTCCATAGCTGAGTTTTTATAGGCAAAATAGTCTTAAAGGTTCAAGTACAACTCATGAAACAGAAACTTATTTGGTTATTAACAAATTTCAAGCAGGCAGTAAGTGTGCTGAGCTTTCAGGAACTCACTAAGTCCTACAGAAGCAACAGCAAGGAAATCTATGGAGAGATTTCTGATGTACCCACAGACCAATCCTATGTGCTTTTATGTCTTCATCGAATGAAGACGAGAAGAGTCCCTCCTCTATCAAGCAGCCACTCCAGGGAACAGTCTGCAGCAGGTAAATCTACGTTAATTGCAACAGGAGCAGTCTCACGGATTCACAGAGATGCTAAGTGCAGTGGGAAGTATTCTCCTCTTTGTTGCCACTGGTGAAGCTGTGATGGGAGTTTTAGGGAACACATTCATTGCACTTGTGAACCTCACAGACTATGCCAAGAACAAGAGGCTTTCTAAGATTCGCTTCATTCTCACTGGCTTGGCAACTTCCAGGATTTGTCTCATATGGATAATAACTGTTGACACATACACAAAGTTGTTCTCCACACATACACTTACCTATGGCACACTATATGAATACATCAACTACCTCTGGGTAATTATGAACCACCTGAGCATCTGGTTTGCCACTAGCCTCAGCATCATCTATTTTCTGAAGATAGCAAATTTTTCTCACTATGCTTTTATCTGGTTGAAGAGGAGAGCTGATGGAATTTTTATCTTTCTAATAGGATGCTTGTTTGTCTCATTGCTTATTGATACTCCAAAAATTGTGAAGATGTTTAATGATTATAAAATGCAATATAGAAACGGTTCCTGGTCCATTCACCTACAAGCAAAAGAGTTACTTATTAACTACATCTTTTTTCAGTTTGGAATTGTTTTCTACTTTTTGATATCTGCCATTACATGTCTCCTCTTGATCATTTCCCTTTGGAGACACAACAAGCAAATGCAATCCAGTTTCTCAGGATTCCAAGACCTCAACACAGAAGCTCATGTGAAAGCCATGAAGGTTTTAATTCCTTTTATCATCCTCTTTATCTTGTATTTTGTAGGTTTGGCCATAGAAATAGTAGGCTTCTTTTGGCATAAACTGCTGTTTCTTTTTGGTGTGATAATTATGTTCATGTATCCCTGCTGTCACTCATTTATTCTAATTCTAGCAAACAACCAACTGAAGAAAAGTTCTTTAAGGTTATTGCAGCAGTTGAAGCGCTGGAACATTGGAGATCTTAGAAAAAAATAACAGTCGGGGCACTGCAATGAATGCCCTGAAATATTCTGGTGAGAAAAACCTTGAAGACCTTTTCCAGATGCACTAATCGTTACAATAGTTTGTAGTTCAACTGTCAGACACTAAAAACTTCTGCAATGCTTTTAACTATATCTTAGGGTTCTTTCTCTTCAGCAGGACTTTAATCCCCCATGCAAATTCAGTTCCTCCTGACTCTGCAGCTTCTTCACATACTTTTGCCAGGGAAGTCTTTTCTTTGTAAAGATCTTCATTGTGAAAATAATCATTCAAAACAAGACTTCTCTTTGTTATTCATGTGACTCCCCTGGAGTACTGATACTATTTTTCCAAGACCAGAAGGAAAAAGGAAAGACACCAAGACAGACAGCTGTGTCACTCCTGACTTTCACTACATGAAGCTGAGGAACAGAAAGGATCACTTCTGCTGTGTGCAATTTTACTTCTTACAAAATTGCTGTTATTTTTACCCAGTAAATACCATAGTTCTTGTTGCTGGTAAGTATTTGATGTAGTAACAGTGATTGTAATAGTGGATTCAACTCTGCAAAATAACTAGAGAAGCAGATTTACTTGTGGACAAAAGAACTAAAACACTGATAGAAAAGAGCCTTCATACTCATCTAGTCCAATCATTTGAAATGAGTCCTCCCTATATCAGTTAGTTTTGAGCATAAATTTTCTGAAGAGCACATTCTAAAGGCTTAACATCATGTCTGACCAAAGAACAGAAGAATATACCAAGGGTAGAACATGTATGAGGTTTACACACACACACACACACACACATATTATTCACATAACATGTACAGATACACTCTAAAGCATGCGTGAGCTCTTCATTTTGAAATTTAAAGTTTATATGTAACTTAATATTTCAGGTTAGTTCATTGTTTTTGACAAATTACAGAGTGTATTGGTTTTCTGAAGTCTGGACATTTCTATATATAAAGGCATGGCTCATTTGCAATTAAGTTATTATCTTTGGGGCCTCAGTTAATGCACTAAATCCATATTGTTCTTGCTCAATCCAGATCTTTGGAGGTGAGAAAACCCACCTCTACTCTGGGCCACATCTTCTACTGAAAACCTATATAACGACATCGAAGAAAGTAGATTTTGTTCTTAGCCTGATTGCTCTCACCTCACTAGCAAGTCCACTGTTTCACTGGCTTTACAGCCTACTTCTTTAGAATTCCAATATATACTGATGGTAAGACATCCAGCCTTTTGAACTGAAGAACTGCTGGGTTCTTAGACCTTCTGTTCACAGGCAGCTACTGTTACAGTAGCTGTACCAGAGCTTGTAAGCCATTCTAATAAGTCCCCATTCTATATGTAGAGAGATATTTTATGATGACTGTTCTTGATTTTCAACTTGACTACATCTGAATTAAATAAAACCACAAAAAAGAGGGTACACGTCTAAGGATGTTTTTGTTTAATTTGAAGTAGCAAGATCTACTTCTGTTCAGATTGTTGAAGTATAGAGACACACCTTTAAAAGTCCACATCAGTTAAGTTGGAAAAACGTACTTGTAATAGGGCTATACCTCCTGATGGAAGACTACATAAAGGGATGGAAGAAGAAAGATTTTGCTCCTTGCCTGCTTGATCCTGCTTAGGTAGCAAGTTCATTCTTTCCTGGCATTAGAGACTACTTTTTGGGATTCCATTATGCATTGAAGACTAGCTTAGATATTCAGCCTGATGAACTGAGCAACTACTAAATTCTTTCTTGGAAGTTTCATTAATATACAACCATTATCAGATTATATGGTCTTGTGTGTGTGTGTGTGTGTGTGTGTTTCTATTGACATCTAGATATATAGATAATAGATAGGAAGAGATGATAGTAAGATAAATATATAGATACATGATAAATAAATAAGGAGAAAGAGAGAGATTTTTCTTTAAGTTATGTTACTCTAGAGAACACTGACACAGATTTTTAGTACCAGAAGTGGTTCTGGAGGAGCATATGTATAAGGAGTAATCTTTTAAGGTTCTGGAATTGCCTTTTCAATTTTCCAACACCTACAGAGACTGAAGCCTCTCCATTTACTTAAGGCTAAAGGTCCCTAAGTGTGCTTTCAGAAAGATTCTTTTTACCAGCTGCCAGAGAGCTCAAGTTGTAAAAAATCAAATCAAAGCACTCCTTATATGATTGGCAGAATTACAGCAAAAAGTCAAGACCCAGTCTCGGAGGATGTCAGCAACAAAAGAGCATTGATGGGTCAAGAATGGGATCCTGTAACTTGGGGTAGGGACATGCAGAAGGACCCTTTTGAAGCTGAGAACTTTGAACACTCAAATTTTCAAGGGTTTATCTCATGTAAGGATGTAGTTTTTCTACTCTCAGCTCTAGCCCTTGAAATATTTTGTTTATCACCTTTGATTTTGGAAATTAATCAATTGTATAGTAAATCAGATGTTGTTATTAAATAAGATCTTTTTTAATATTTTTTATTTTAATTTTTATTAATTACACTTTATTCACTTTGCATCCCCCCATAAACCCCACCCTCCTCCCCTCCCAATCCCACCTTCCCTCCCCCTTCTCCACACATGCCCCTCCCAAGTCCACTGATAGGGGAGGTTTTCCTCTCCTTCCTTCTGATCCTAGTCTCTCAGATCTCTTCAGGAGTGGCTGGCTGCATTGTCTTCCTCTGTGGCCTGGTAAGGCTGCTTCCCCATCAGTGTGAGGTGATAAACAAAATCTTAATCATTCAATTTTACGAGTGAAGAACTAGGAGCCAGATGCTGGGGTGAAAGCCTACTAGGTTTAAGGGGCAGAGAAAGCACCCAGCTAACCTTCCTACTTAGCTGATATCCCAGAAAGAAAAGCCTTTTTTCTTTCTTTATGCTGCCTTAAATACCCTTCTTAAACTGAATGTCCCTCTGTCCTATGCTTACTTATGTTCACTCCCTCCCAACTTTTTTTTTTTTTTTTTTTTTTTTTTTTTTTTTGTGCTCGACCTCTTGACCTATGGCTGGCTTTATTTAGCTCTTGTTTCCGGAGGCCCTTGGGTTAAAGGTGTGTGTTAGGTGTGAGCCACAACACAACAAGAAACAGGTTTTTCTGGTATACAACCTTGTCATTCACAGTGTGATCAAATATCTTCCAACATTTCCCCCTTTTTGTCTAAATGAAAGACTCTTTCTCTAACATCAATCTACTATCTGGTAAGAATAACATACAATAGCCACTCCATTTGTGTTTAGCAACCTTGGAGAAAGTACTCTACTATCTATCCTATCTTTGCAAAGTCAAACTTCAGTACTTGCATTTATCAGCTTGAAAACTTGTTTTAAGACCTTAAAACATTTTCTTAAATACTAACTAACTTAGGATTAATTGTGAGACTATAACTGTCTACCCTTCAACGCCATCAGCAAACTAAGAAGAATAAATGTTATCAGAATAAACAGGAAGTGCAAAGCAAGCAGCTTTCAAAACTATAAAAATAAAAGAGACTGCTGCCTGCCTGGACAGTCAAGCAAGATTCTTCTTCAACGTTGGAGCATCCATCTCTTCCCATCTCTTCTGCCTATTAGCCCAGAATGCCTGGCAGATTTTTAAGTGAAACAAGAATTATGAAAAACATCTCTACCTTGTCTTGACAGAGTTCAGCAGTTGACGTTCTTTGTGTCCTGCTTGGCCACATCTTGGACAGCATACTTTTAGTAACTGAATCAAGGACAGTTTCTTCCCCAGTGGCATCTTGCCACATTTGAAGCAAGCTCTACAAAGAGATTTTTCAGTGATAATCATTTTCTTTGAAGTACTATTGGGTGCTTCCAGGAGCTTATATTTTTCATTGTCAAAAAAGTATTAAATTAATAAAAACATCTGTAAATATTTAAATAAAACATCTTTAAATAAAACATCTTAAAATAAAACATCTTTGAATGTATCTATATTCTGTAGACCACTGAGGTTTTTGAAGACCGCCTATTTATCTCAGTATATTTGAATAGGCAAACACTGCTTGTTTCTTTTTTTTTTAATTTTTTCTTTTTTTAATTTAATGTTATTTTTAATTACACTTTATTTACTTTATATCTCCCTTCTAGTTCCCTCCCTCCTCCTGTCCTAATCCTTCCCTTCCTCCCCCTTCTCCACACACACTATTCCCCAAGTCCACTGGTAGGGGAGGGTTTCTTTTTCTTCCCTCTGATCCTAGTCTGTTAGGTCTCATCAAGAATGACTGCATTGACTTCCTATGTGGCCTGGTAAGGCTGCTCCCCCCTCAGGGGGAGGTGATCAAAGAGCAGGCCAATCAGTTCATGTCAGAGACAATCCCTGTTCCCATTACTATGGAACCCACTTGGACACTGAACTGCCATGGGCTACATTTGTGCAGGGGTTCTAGGTTATCTCCAGGAATAGTCCTTGGTTGGAGTAGCAGTCTCAGGAAAGAACCCTGTGCTCAAATTTTTTGGTTCTGTTGCTCTCCTTGTAGACCTCCAGTCCTCACCAGATCTTACTATTATTTCCCACTTCTTTCATAAGATGCCCTGCATTCTGCCCAAAGTTTGATCATAAGTCTCAACAAATGCTTTGATAGTCTGCAAGGCAGAGCCTTTCAGAGGTCCTCGGTGGGAGGCTCCTAACTTGTTTCCTGTTTTCTTCTTCTTCTGGTGTCTACCCTCTTTGCCTTTCAGGATGGGGATTGAGCATTTTAGCCAGAGTCCTCTCTCTTGATTAGTTTCTTTAGGTGTACAGATTTTAGTAGGTTTATCCTATATTATATGTCTGTATGAGTGAGTATATACTGTGTGCATCTTTCTGCTTCTGGGATACCTCACTCAGGATGATCTTTTCCAGATCCCACCATTTACCTGCAAATTTCATGATTTCCTTGTTTTTCATTGCTGAGTAATATTCCATTGTGTAGATGTACCACAATTTCTGTATCCATTCTTCAGTTGAGGGGCATCTGGGTTGTTTCCAGCTTCTGGCTATTACAAATAAAGTTGCTACAAACATG